ATAAAAGAAGATCGGAAGTAGTCGTTATTGAAGAACAGGAGCACAAACAGCTCAGCAGAAGGAGAAGAAAACGAGGTAGGGAATCACACGAGTGGCTCAGAAAATGCTGGAATCAAACCTCGGCAGACACAACCATTAAAACCTCGCCATACAGATGGCCCCTCCTTATATCCCAGTAACTCCACTGCCTTCAATACGTTGCCGAGAAAAAACCATTCGCTTCAGACAAACATTGTGACGAGGCCTATTTGCTCTCGACTAGAGGTTTCAAAGCTTCTACTCCAGTCTGGAGTACCGCCGGGTTCGACGTCTTCTTCAGCACACTGGTCAGGATATCGACCCCTCCGCACTTCTCCACCATTTCTTTCGCGCGCTTAGAGATGTCGCCAGTTGCCACACAGGTCAGATTCCGAATACACGCAACGCCCCGATGCACAAGCCCTTCGTCGTCTTCTTTACAAAGTCCCAGAAGTAGCTCCACGCCACGCGGCCGTTCGAGGATGCCCGCAATAGCAGCATCAAGCTCGGTAAGCATAGCTAGTGCACCACCGGCAGCTCTGCGTGTCTCCAGGTCATCGGTGTCAGTGAGCGCCAGAAGAATGTGGAGCCGCTGAGCAGCCCGCTTGGAGCCATCAGCAAATTTCGCAACGCCAGACTCGCACGTCATCAAATTGCAAACTAGTTCACATGATGCTCGTTGAATCATAGGGCTGCTGGAGAGCAGGAGGTCTTCCACAACTGTCCATGCATGGCGCACTATGGCCTCCGCTGCGGACGGATCCGGGTAGGATGCAAGATTTGTTAGAGCGAGCAGGCCCTCAAACACAGGTAGCAAATCGCGCGGCTGTTCCGCAGTCAAGGTGCCTACTTCAGGCGTCGTCAACAGACTGGTCAGAGGTCGAACGGCTGAGGTGATCTGAGGGATTCCGGAGGATGGGAAAACGAGGGACGGGTTGACAGAGATAAGTATACGGGCGAGTGCATGAGAGGCGCTCTGCATCGCCTCGTCAGAAATCGAGCCCGACGTGCCTTGTCTAGCAGACCCCAGGCTGAGAAGTAGCTTAACCGCGCCTTGTTGCGCAAGAGTTCCTCTAGATTTGCTGTCTCGGGACAAAGAGAGCAGGATTTTGCTCACGAGCCCCTGGGCAGACAGCAGACCGCTCTTGCTGCATTCTATGAAAAGAGGCATGACTCCGGCCTGAACTACCGCGTTGCAACGAGCGATGACGTGCTCGTCGTCGTCGAGCGGATGCGGCCCAGCTCGTGCTGTCGCGCCCGAAGCGTCTGCGTATGCTTTGAGTTGGGACATCTTCTTCTGTTCTTCTGTCATCGAGGGTAGAAACTGGGTGAGATTTAAAATGATCATCAGGCCACCATACAGCACCGATGCGTCGGCGATACTGCCTTTCAGCACCTTGATCAAGTCTTTCAAGAAAGCAGAATCCTTCGCAAGCTGCTCCTTTACGGCTGGCTTGACGGAAGAATAGGCCAAACCTTCGATTGCGTTCGAAATACTCTCGTCTTTATGCTTCGAGATCTGTTCCTTGAAGCGGTTGACCAGCTCCGCTGTCTGGCCGTCCTCCTCGTAACCTTTACCGTTGGACGTGGTGGGATTTCCTTTCTCAGAAGCCCGAACCTTCGCCAATATCACCGCTGCCAATTCTGAGCTCTGATCGTTCCCATTAGTCAAAAGGTGAGAGAGCCAATCGGACAGGTGCTTAGAAACAGCATCCCGACAGGCCTGGTTTATGCAGGCTGCATTTAGCAACTCCAGAATTGCCGTTTCCACGTTCCGGCTCTTCATATTCCTCGCGGTAAATGGCGTGAGAGAGCTAATGAAACTATCCGACAGGAACAGGGAAGCAGCGATATCTGGCACCACGGGGAAAACGGCAGCGAGGGCGGAAAATGCAACTATGTGATCATCATTGCGTGCATTCTTGACTTTCGTGGAAAGAAGTCGCGAGAAACGGTCCTGCCCTGTTTCCTTCGAAGTTTCAAGGTACTTGACTGTCGCGAGAGTTGCCTGGCTCCTCACCTCGAGAGGAAGTCGGATGTCCAAGGAGGAAAGGATCACATCCAGTCCTTCGTCATCAACCAGATGCTGCAGTTTGACCGCATCGACCGCGAGCAGGCGCGCAATACCTTTCAAAGACCGACCATCCAAGTCGTGACCCGATTCCATGAGCTTAGCGATGAAGAGCTGGAAGAGTTCGCTTTCACAGTGCAGGCGCGTAGCCTCGGATGGCCACACGGCATGATCCAAGACCACGGTATCCAGACAGACTGCCGCCCCATCGCCCCGGTCATAGATCTCATCAAAGAAAGTCGTGACAGATACCTGAAGCCGGTCCGAAAAGTATTGCCGCACGCTGGCGTTCTGGCGTACCAATCCCGAGATAATATCATCTTGCAGCTGAGATAGGCTAGAAGGTTCCCGCGCTAGAATGAGTTTGACGCATTCCAAAGCCACCTCCTCTGAAGGTTTGAGACCATCGGTGCGGAGATAGAGAGCTGCATCCTTTCCCGCACTCTCATCCTTTCCAGAGGTATATCGGCGGCACAGGTTTAGCAGGTAGTGGCCATTATTCTCCTCTTGTTGAATCTTGATAATGGCTGCTTTGACGGTTGGATTTTCTGGTGCTAAGGAAAGAGCTTCTCGAAGATTTCGCGAGGCAGCCTGCGAAGAGGACAAAAAAGTTAGCGGAGTTTGGGTAATGTACAGAGTTGTGAAATAGAATAAAAACGGTGCGGACCCGTGAGAGGGCACAACGATGCCAACAAAAATAGAAGAGCAATTCGTTAGATATAACGGGAAATAAGTATACCTCGCGGTGGCCGGCGTCTGCCAGCTCAACAGCCTCCCGTGTCAGATGTACAGCGCGCTCTTCGCCTGTCGAGTGAACCATTTCAAGCTTGATAAGAGGGGCAGGAAGAAAAGCGGGAGGATCGCGGACGGCGAGAAAGAAATTGCAGGCAGGGTGTGAAGACAGGTAGGAGGATGCAGCAGAGCAGAAACCAGAAGGTTATCTCTGCTTAGACAGAGCTAGCGAGTAAATCGAGCTCGGATTATAGCAGAAGTCAGAGTGAGTAGCAGGGAGGTAGTGTTGGCGGTACTTCAACCCACGGCCTCCGAAGTGACGGTCGAAGAACAAAGAACACATGCAATCATGGAGATTATAAAGGGAGCTATGGCTGTCCAAGTAAGCAGGCAGGCCCTGAACAAGGAAAGACAGCAATCAGGTCAATGATGCAGTTGGATGAAGGTTATGCATGTACGGTAAGCAAGTACCTTAGGTTAAGTTGCTTTTTTTTTTTTTCGTCGTGATCATACCTCTGTAATGATTCCGCGGACAATGAATTCCCGTCTGGTAAATAATACGGGCCTTCGGACCTCCATAAGGAGCAATATCGGGGCAAAGCAACCGCGGAGTTAAGGTATCTTACATTGGATTACATTACATACGGCAGTGGCGGATAATAGTAATCTATAATACGTACCTTAATACATCGACTCAACGGAGTCGGCCCCCCTCCATCAGCTTTATCAGCTTCATCAGCTTCATCCTACGATCATCTTCCTTTTTATCTAGGGCGTACTGCTTGGCACAATAGTCTCGTCTCGGTATGACCGACTATGCCCAGCCTCATTGTTGGCAATGCTCGTTATACAATAGTCTGAAGATCAATGGCTTGGCAGTTATTGACGACCCCTCGCTTGATGTAAATTACCTTGACCAAAACAGTACATGGAGCTTAGGCAAACTAAGTGCTGGATAATCGAAATCGACATCTAATCGCAATGATCTTGATTATTCAAAAGTTTAGGTAGAGATAACAAGCGGCGCCAACCACAGAAGCCAATGAAACCACGTTGCCCACACCTGGCCGCGGGCCCCTTAAGTTCTTTCGTGGCTATAGGCTCTGATCCCCCCACTGAGCCCGGAGCCCACTCCCACATGCCGCGCTCCGTACTCCGTACACAAGACTGCGACATCCGGCTTCCCTGTTCGACAGCTTGTTTCGGCCATCTTGGATATCTGGATAAACTGGAGACTGGATTGCTCTTACTCCGTATTTCGGCATTAATGCGGCCAACGCACACCGTCCAAGGCTTCCAAGACTTTCTCTTCCCACAAGTACGACTAGTGCCTGCGACTATGCACACCATCCAAGTCTTGGCTACTCCTTGCTCAGGAAGATCTACAAGCTTGAGATAGTTGATACTCGAGTGATGGACCGGATTGAACTTGATTTCAGAGTGATTTGTGTCTAACTTAGTGTTCTAGGCTTCCAGCCTCCGTCTCACTTTACACTGTCTGGCGTCGCCGTACGGCCACCGCTTATCAATTTATCCCACTCGTATACGTAGGTTACTTCCAGGTGAGCTTACTCCGTACTTGAGACGTGGAGCAGTAGCGCAGATGTACAGTACTTCCGGAAATCAGTGTCAACCCCTACGCTCTTTCGTCGTTTGCCAGACCAAGTGTTAAACTACTTTTGGAATGATCAAAATAATATTCCCGGTCCTACGCCATGTACCGTAGATTACCGGATTATTGTATTAGCGTGGCTTGTGTTTATTACCTGTCATAGCTAGATATCCCGCCCTAAAGTCAGTTCTCATCATGGATAATGCACCCTTTCATCGTTCCGAGAGGATTGAGCCAATGTGCCTTGATAAGGGGTTCAAACTAGTGTACTTACCATCATACTCGCCCGACCTGAACGCCATTGAAGAGTTTTTTGCTGAGCTAAAGGCGTTCATTCGGCAGCATTAGCAGTCTTACGCAGATAATCTGAGTTAAGTGTTTGATGTTTGATAACTTTTTTGACTGGCGTGTTGACAAGGTGGGAACAAGGGACAAAGTGCAAGAAGCACTTCAGAACGTAGGTCTCGATATTGAAGAGCTGTAGTAGAAAGATATCCCATATACAATGCATTTTCTGGCCTTGATTGCTACCCCATCTATCTGTATCATTTTCTATAGCGCTTACAGTTAAGCTGGACGGAACGTGTTATGACTTCCAGCGGCAAATGTTGCTAGGCCGAGCCCACTTATCTCGCCGATCAATCGCAGCTTTTCTTGGACCCATGCCCTCTTTTCCTCACCCGCCAAAGAAGAGAACAGCAAGACGACCAAAGGCCAGAAGATGCTATATGCCCGATAAGCCATTCCTATCTCGTCTTCCGCCATATTATGCTCGCCGTCGAGCCCCAGAACGGTGCAAATCTCCCCACACACCTGTTCGAGGATCATGGACCCCAGTGATGGGTCAAACTGATAATCAGGTTTGTGGTGGGTTCCCTCACCGTCCTCAACAAAAGCCACAAGGCTCGAGACCATTTCAACGACATGGTACCTCACGGTTTGATATAGACACCTTGCAATGGCCTCAGTCGTTTTGGTGGAGACCTCGAACATGTTATTGAAGGCTGTCGGCTGTAGATGTGAAGGCAGATCTGGGTTCGAGGAGGACTTGACGCTGGTTGCTGTGGCTTTGAGATTTTCGCAAATCGCAGTCCCATCCTTGATAAGTTGTATCACCTCGATTCGAGATGGGCGGTGGCTCATGGTGACCTGAGCGTGCGCACGCCTCTTGAAATCGACCGTCTGAGCAAGAATGGGCTCTAAAAGAGGTCCTTTTACCCACGGAGCCGCAAACTTTTCCAGAGCTAACCATTTCGCATCGAAGGAGGGCTCATAATTGAGGAACATACTCATCAACTGAATACCGACGTCAGTGGAACGTTGGCTGTGCGTGGCCCGGGGGTTGATACGCACACAGATATGACTGAAGAACGCTAAAAAGCTTTTATCTAGTTCGGAATCCCGCGACCGCTCAGCCCGCCACCGAAGTAAGAGCAGTGCCCCTTCAAAGTGGATATGACAGCGGAAGACCGGGTCCTTCAGGCCACTCATCAAGAACTCTGGGATGATCATCTACATGCCTTTAGCATGAACGGGCCTTGTTGACGGCAATCGAGCTCTCTTCTATATAATGGTGAGGGCAAAACTAACGAAACATATCTTACCTCGAATAGTGAAAGCAGAAACAGAGTTACGAGAACCGAATCGTCCGCAGTTAGGACAGGATCGTTAAGTGCGACATTGAGTGCCGTAATCGCTTTGCCATAGTGCTGCCTTGCCCGCACCATCAATCCAGACTGGTGAAGCTGGCGAGCCGAGCTAACTAAGGCCACGGCCTGGAGAGCTTCCTGGAAACATGTCGACGAGCTGCTCGTATAAAACCTGGGGAGAACGTTGAAGAGCGAGATGCCCGAGTGAATAGCATAATCTCGGTAGAAACGATTCCAGCTGTGCACCTCGGCAGAGATGTGGACTGCTCGTGGAATGGTGGTGTTTTCTCTTTCGATCCGCTCCGTTCTTTGTCTTCTTACTCTCTGGACCCGCGTCTGCACTTTATTCTCGGCATATGTGTTCTGCACGCGCAGCATGACGTCCCAGGCCTCGGGGTAGCCAGGGCACGGCCGTCCCGCCTGCGTACAACGCCGACAGTATGGCTTTTGCAAGTCACACTAGAGTGGGAAGGACACTGTTAACCAGAGGGACCTTGGCAACACAAAGGGTTACCGCACCTTCACACGCCGCTCACGACACGTGAAACAGCACTTAGACCGCCTGCCCGCGTTAACCATGACGAAGGTGTCGGGCTTCTTCTTCTTGTTTTGCTCCAGTGGTGATGCCCCAGGGACTCGGGCGGCAGGAGAGGCGGCTCATGGTGGTGGAAGCATCTAAGTGGATGTTATTGTGTCTCGTCACGGATAGTTATCCATGTCCGCTCCATCAGCCTTACCATTACCCGACTAGCGCCAAATACCTGGCCACCAAGCTAAACCTTAAAGGGTCGTAAGCGCGAGCTTTAATTTAAAGTTTCCACGCCTCGATCGATGTGGAGTCGGGTTGGATTGATAGTATTGTCGTCCCTATCAAGCCTGAATGGGTACTAATTCTTCCCACCAACCGACAGAAATGAGGATGTGGCTGAATTTGTTTTGCCACTTGCAGGCTGAAAGAGGGAAATGAAGAAAAAGTAGCCATAGTGTGATGTCAAGGACATTCTTTGGCCCGCTGTGCTGGGGACGCCATGGCTTGAAGGGTGAACAATTACTAACTTGTAAAGTTGAGGAGCCTCGTGGCGCGGATTCGGAAGATTAATGAAGAGTGAACCGGTTCTCGGAAGGAACTCAGCCCGCTTTATGATTTGAAGGGGAGTATAAAGGGCGATGGCGGCAGTCCTCTCGTCGGAGAGGACAAAGTTCACATTTGGAAGCTCATGTAACTTTCCTTTGAGGGCCAGACACATTCAATTTACGCGAAGTACGAAGGACACCACACAATGCCTTTTTTCCAACCAACAGTACCCCCTCTTTCCTCCGGTATCGACCTCTCTGGGCAAACAGCCATCGTCACCGGCGCAACAGCAGGCATCGGGCTTGAGATTACTCGCCAACTTATCCTTTACAAGGTCTCAAATATCATCATGGCCGTGCGCAACACGTCAAAGGGCGAGACTGTCCGCGTATCTCTGCTCTCTGATCCGGCTGTGAAGGCGGTCAACCCTCATGTCACGATCAAAGTTATGGAGCTCGATACAGAGAACTACGCGAGCGTGCAGCGCTTCGTGTCTGCCTACCAGCTCGCCTTTCAAGATTTGCATCTGCTGATGGCGAATGCGGGGATTGGTACCGCAGCGAAAGAGTCGGCAAGTTCGGGGCATGAGAAGGACATCCAAGTCAACTATCTCTCCAATGTGCTGCTTACACTCGCTCTCCTGCCCACGCTGGAAGCGACTGCAAACAAGACCAACAAGCCAACGAGAGTTACTTGGACCGGTAGTCGAATGTACGAGAAGACTAGTCTAGCCAAGAAGCTTCCCCTCCAGAAAGGAGAAGGGCTCCTCAAGCACTTTAACACCGCCGAGGGCCTCTCCATGTTGGAGCGATATGGAGATAGTAAGCTCCTCTGTGTGCTCTTCCAGCTCGAACTCGTCAAGCACTATCGCCCTGAAAAAGTCATCATCAACAGCTTCTGTCCCGGCCTGGTCGACACAGGGATGACTGATGTGCTCCCCATCTATATGCGCATACCCACGAACGTGATGAAAGCTCTCAGCGCTCGATCACCAAAGCAAGCGGGGTGGATTGCGCTGAATGCAGCGGTCGTTGCGGGGGCGGAGACACATGGGAGACTCCTCAGGGATATGGCGGTGGAGGAGCCGTCCGAATTTGTTAAGAGCAAGGAGGGGCAGAAGGTACAGAAGATGTTGTGGAATGAGACGATTGACGAAATGGCAGGAGTGGTAAATCTGCCTACTTGGATGAACAAACTGGAGTGAGATGTGCCTTGGGGAGTGTGACTTTTTGATAATGGTTATTGATTTTTATCTAAATCTAATTATGCAACATATGGAATCCTAGACCAGTTTTCTAAAGCAATCGATATTTTTTCCACGTCAGGCTGCACGAGATATTCAAAGAGCTGAATCTAAGGCCGTTGTTCGTCTCGATGGCAAGCAACTGTCGAATCGCGCACCCGCGCGTGTAGTTATGCATTCCCTTTTGGCTACCATCGTATCATCTATACACAAATGACACGCAGGGTATGTAACATACTTTCGTAAATATCTGTATCAGTAATATATGGGAAAAATTGATATTCTGGCTAGTTCCTTAGTACAGACTAGTGGGCCTGCCATTATGGTTAGAGAAATAGTGAAAAGAGTGTAACTCCTTATGTGGTGACACCGATTTCCGGAAGTACTGTAGACTACTCCGTGCCTTAGTGAGTTTCCACTTTTAGCACGGGTCGTATTCCGAGGAGAGCTCGGTCCTTAAGTGCTGTCTAGCGGATGGCGTGCTGACTTTAATTCGAGGATTTTGAGATGGCTTGACCTAAGCGAGGTTGCGAGCTCCTATGACTATGAGGGCAAACCGGCAACAGCCTGGAGACTGGAGAACCTTCATTTACAATAAATGCACTCAATGCGTAGGTTTCAATGCGTAGGTCTTCTTATTAGCTCGAGCCAGGACCGCGGAACTAATGAATTTAGTCTTAAGGTAGCCGCTTCTAGATACCTAGTAGACAGTAGATAGACCACCCGCTGGTTGTAGATATCCTAGACCCCTTGATCCGCTAGCTTTCTGCTTCACAGACGCCCCTATTTTAGGCCGAGTCACTTCAGGTCTGCTGACACAGAAGCAACCGTACATTGCCATGGGAATCGGAGGTGACGTGATGCCTGTTACATCAGACACCCTTCCTTGATACTCGAGTGCAAATCACTCATTCCAACTCTCACACGTCGGAAACCGCTGTGCTTTCCAGCTTTCTGTGGCTTGGTGGTGCCATTGTCTTTGGCGCTGGCACCGTCTGTAGCTGGAGACACCGCCCGTGCGCCGCTCATGACGGGCAATTCAATTGCTGATGCATCTTCACTGCGTTCCAGAGCGAACACTTCGACCATCCACTCGTACCAAACTTTGCGGTCATCGGTCTGCCTGGTCATAGTGACAACAATCTCCCCATTGTCAGGTACATTGAGGGGTGTCTAGGAGCCATCGTTAGGTGCGAGTATTTCTAGGAGAAGACGTGCATGAGTTCTCACCTTGAGTGGAAAGTATATGGGGAACCAACTGATCATGTTAGCACTCTTGCTGTCCATCGTGACCGGGTTTGTTGATAGCTCCACATCCTGATAGAGCACAGTCTCGAAGTAACCAGCCAGGCCGTGACAGACGCCACGATTCTGAGTAGGAAAGGCCAGGCGCGTCCGGCGAACATTGTGTGAGTTAGAGATGATGGATGTAAAGGGCAACTGAGGAGGGATATCTCTGTTGGGATGCGAGAACGACCACGCCGTCTGCACATAAGGAGTCGAAGACTCGGGCACTGGGAGAGTCGATATAGAAGATCGAGTATTACTGATATAGCTATTGCCGCTGTCGCCTGACATGGTGCCGGCAGACGGCTGATTTGTGGACAAAAAGTCAATGGCATGCAGCATGACAACGTACGGCGTCTCCGGAGCCGCTGGATTCGATATAGACTGGTTCACAACGTCCGCATGCAGCTTAGGGGCCGAAATCGGTGTGAGATGAGCCGTGTATGAGGTTGGAATGGATATGCCGTGCACAGGATTGAGTAGATGAGTGATACCGTCCAGACATTCCGGCGACAGTTCATTGTCCCCGAAGGAGCCGAGAAGCTCTGACACCACAATATCAATTTGACCAGAAGACTGGTCGGACGATGCTATGCTCTTCACAGACTCGGGGGCCGGCGTGTTACCTTCCTGATCTGGTTCAGGTTTATAGAGAAGCGAATCCTCAATACCGAGAGACTTCCCAACTGTGGCCAGGGGTAAGCCGGAATCTTTCGCCCTTTGGGGACCTTTCCAGCTCCGCATGTCCGACTGAACAAGGGTTGCCTTGCCGCCCCAGAGTTCTTCATTGTGACGTTGGAGAAGAACAAAAGCGTTAGGATTCTTCTCCACAACCCAAAGGTCGATATCGACGCCTGTTTCAGCGCTTGCTCGGATTGCCCGCGTCACCAACGGCCCTCTACCAGCACCCACAACAGCAAGTACTACCCGACCATCAGGATTAGAGGTAGGTTTCTTCTGCTCGGCCCAGTCACTGAGGGCTTTCGCAATGGCTCTCTCATACCATTCATACTTGATAGGATCTTTCTCAAAAACTTCATATGTGATGCTCTCCAGATTGACCGTCAAGGGCTGCAGTGGCGCCTGAAGGTAGTCTTGATAACCCATGCCAAATCTCTCGATCGCAGAGCGAGGCGGTTGGCGTTGCTGGAGATTTCTGATATATGACAAGTGAGGTGTCGGATCAATGAACTTCTTACTCGAGACCGCGGCCTGCGAAAGACTTGGAAATTCAGAGCTGGACAGGTTCGATTGAGCCGCCTCAGACACCTCACTTTCCTCTACTCCCGGAATAGGGCCAACGTCGCAGAGAAGAATCCACGGGGGCGTCCGAAGACGCATGAATTTAGCAATCAATGCCTGGTGCGCTTTCGATAGGACAGGGTAGCCCTTCTGGTTCTTGATAAAAGTATTGGCGTCCATAGTAAGCAGGTGAACAGGCTCGGAATGCCAGCGAGACTGGACGGACATTGGAGGAAGTTGTTTTGGTAAGGATAGTGCTGTCGGTATAGGTTTCAGCAACAGGGCAAATCGGAAATAGTCACACACGTAAGAACGCATCAAGGGCTGCAAAAACGAAAAATAAATTCTTACCTACGAACAGTCTCGTGTGATATTTACAAGTTCTTCTAATTACGTCCCAAGCATCCCACGTTCCAAACAGGTCCACCTTGAGCGACTGCGCATCATCGGAATCGCAGAGAAACTCATTCCGGGCAAGAGGAGCGAGGTCACCCATACTATCAACTTCCAGATCTGGGTTATCCACAATTCTCAGCCAAATATGAAACTGAATGTATGGGCCAAGATTAACGGCATCTTGGACTGCCCTCGCGTAGAAAATCAGGCCTTCTGAGTGCATATTTCCATGGTGGAGCTTCGGGCCCGGGATCAGGAGATATCCAATGCCGCAGAAAGCTGCATATGCCACTTCTAACATAAGAACTTGACGGGAGATATCTGCAATCAATGGATCGGGGGAACAAAGGTCAATCCAAGGGCTAGTGACACCCATCAACTGGCTCATCGTTTGGTTCGGAGTGAGATGACTGTCTGACGGGCCAAGTGGAGGGATGACCACAGGTCTCGTATTCGCAGTTGTCGCCAGAGTACCATTGGGATCAGACGATACTGCCTGCAACTTAGACAAGTGACCAGAGAGCAGACTTAGGACTCGAGAGTGAAAGTGAGGAGTGGTTATCGGCGTCGTAAGCATATCATACTAACGCCGAAGAATCAGCAGGTCAGACAATTCAGGTGTCTTGCAGATCGATGGGTACGTACGTTACTCTCGTGTGCCGACTGCACAATCTCCGCGGTGATGGGTATGGTACGGTTGCTTTCATGTTGACCAACGCAAAATGCGGGGGCCAAATCTTCTGGATCCATATTCGCAAACTATACAGAACAGCGCGTTCTAGAATTTCCTAGGAGAAGGGTGATTTTGTGAAGATCAATCGACGAGTTGTCGAGGGTTGAGATGATTGTCGATCTTAAGCAAATATATGCCTAGAAGATTAGTCCCGCATTTCAGATCAATTGACAAGTAGAGCAGGTTTCTCCCAATGCGACTTCAGATGCACATATACGCGATGAGGGAACAAGCGATAGGGGCCAGTCGAACAGTCAAGGAGCCTCCTCGCTTCTGAGAGCTGCAGCCAGGTATTAATATTATTGTCCAAGCGCTAGATAGGCAGCTCCAAAACAGATACGGCAATCCCCCTGCCTTTCTGTGGGGAGGGGTGTGGCAGAATCTCCAGGCGGTGAGAGGACTGACAAAAGGCGCCAAAGTGGCGGCGCACTTGCCTACCTGGGTTAGACTCATTTTTTCCTTCAGCCGTCGCCAAAATTATTCTGCCGCCCGATAATTCAAAGTAAGATTATGATTGAATTCGTCCGCAGAGGCGATCTCACTCACTATCGCAACTCCACTCTTTTGCAGAACATATACCGCCATGGTCGATTCGCGCTCGGACTCTGAAGGTCGCTCGCGTGCTAAGCGTCAGAAGATGGACAAGACAGAGACGGATCCCAGGGACAATCCTTACCTGGCTCATATGTATGCGGATGCGTCTACCAACGGCGACTCGAGTTCATCAGGGACGAATTCTGCTTTCGCGAAGTTGAAGAGGCATCAGACGACAGCAGCTCTGGCAAAGGAGATAGAGGATGGGGAGATCAATCCATTTACCGGCCAACCTTTCTCCAGCAAGTACTTCTCTATCTTGCAGACTCGTCGTGACCTTCCAGTGCACCAACAGAGGTAAGCCCGTTCAAACTCCGGTGAGGAATTTTTGGTTATAAATTAACAGACGATTATGTTCAAGAGATGAATTTTTGCAGCTTTACCAGCAGTCCCAGATTCTAGTCTTCGTCGGTGAGACTGGTTCCGGAAAGACTACGCAGATTCCCCAGTTCGTCTTGTTCGATGATCTACCGCAAACCCAGCGCAAAATGGTCGCTTGTACCCAACCTCGTCGAGTCGCTGCCATGTCCGTTGCTCAGCGTGTGGCTGCTGAGTTGGATGTTAAGCTTGGAGAGGAAGTTGGTTACAGTATCCGTTTCGAGGACATGACGAGTTCCAAGACCTGCCTGAAATATATGACAGATGGTATGCTTCTGAGAGAAGCTATGCATGATCATGACCTTACACGCTACAGCACAATCATTCTTGACGAAGCCCACGAAAGAACCATGGCTACCGATGTCCTTATGGGTCTTCTCAAAGAAGTTGTGCAGCGTCGGCCCGATCTGAAGATCATTATCATGTCCGCCACCCTGGATGCGCAAAAGTTCCAGCGGTATTTCAACGACGCTCCTCTACTTGCCGTTCCCGGTCGTACTCATCCCGTCGAAATCTTCTATACTCCCGAACCGGAGCAAGATTACGTGGAAGCAGCCATTCGCACGGTCCTCCAAATCCACGCCACAGAGCCCGATGGTGATGTCCTTCTGTTCCTGACCGGTGAGGAAGAAATCGAAGATGCTGCGCGCAAGATATCGCTCGAGGCGGACGAGATGGTGAGAGAAGCCGACGCTGGTCCCCTGAAAGTCTATCCGCTTTACGGCAGTCTGCCTCCGCACATGCAGCAGCGTATCTTCGAGCCCGCTCCTCCCCCTCGCAGACCGGGTGGTCGTCCCGGTCGTAAGGTGATTGTTTCGACAAACATTGCGGAAACATCTCTTACCATCGACGGAATCGTGTACGTGGTGGACCCGGGATTCTCGAAGCAGAAGATCTACAACCCCCGAATTCGTGTCGAGTCACTTCTCGTGTCTCCCATCTCCAAGGCTTCCGCTCAACAAAGAGCTGGTCGTGCGGGTCGTACGCGGCCCGGAAAATGCTTCCGTCTCTATACGGAAGGTGCCTTCAAGAAGGAGTTGATTGATCAGACCTATCCCGAGATTCTCCGATCTAACCTTTCTTCGACTGTGCTAGAATTGAAGAAGCTCGGAATCGATGATCTCGTTCATTTTGATCTGATGGATCCTCCCGCCCCTGAGACACTCATGAGAGCTCTGGAAGAGTTGAATTATTTGGCTTGCCTTGATGACGACGGCAATCTGACACCGCTGGGCCGCCTTGCCTCCGAGTTCCCTCTTGACCCCGCGCTTGCCGTCATGCTGATCAGCTCTCCCGAGTTCTACTGCTCCAATGAGATCCTGTCAATCACAGCTCTGCTTTCAGTTCCTCAGATTTTCGTGCGGCCCGCCTCTCAGAGAAAGCGTGCCGACGAGATGAAGAACCTCTTTGCTCATCCCGATGGTGACCATCTCACTCTTTTGAACGCCTATCATGCCTTCAAGAGCGCAGAGGCCCAGGAGAATCCAAAGCAGTGGTGTCACGATCATTACCTCTCCCTCAGATCTCTTCAATCGGCAGACAACGTTCGTATGCAGCTCCTGAGGATCATGGAGCGCGAGGAGCTGGAAATGATTTCGACTCCTTTCGAAGACAAGAAATACTACGAGAACATCCGGCGTGCGCTGTGCGCGGGATTCTTCATGCAGGTCGCGAAGAAGGAACCACAGGGAAAGAGTGTCTACACGACCGTCAAGGACCACCAGAGTGTTCTTCTGCACCCGTCAACCGTCCTCAGCTATGATGCCGAGTGGGTCCTCTATAACGAATTCGTCCTCACCACTAAGAATTACATTCGGACTGTGACTGCTGTCAAGCCCGAATGGCTCCTTGTATGTCGTCCCCGTCCCACTATCATTGAACGAGGATGTACTAACAGCCTTTTTCTAGGATATCGCTCCCACATACTACGATATCTCAACCTTCGCTAAGGGCGAGATCCGATCTTCCTTGCTGCGCGCCGCAGAGAGACTTTCGCGCAAAGAGAAGATGCGCGGAGACTCTGCAAGGAGACGATAGATTATCCTGGTTTCGAGAATAAAATAGATTCCCCATTTCTTTTATTTCATGGCGACGTCTTCACTTCAGTCATTCTAGAGTAGACTTGCCTGACATGTATGTATAATTGGCGGTATTCGAATCCTAGACGTCATTATATGCCCCCTGATGATTGTAGAGAGAGTACAACTGCTTGAAAACTCTAATAATGGGAATGTCTGGTAGAAGTATTTCTGCGACTCATAACTCAAGAACCCATCATGAGTGGTGGAGCAGATGTTAGGGCATCATCATTCCAAGTCCTATAACTATCCGACATAATATTATACAGGTAATTCGAGGTATTTATTACAAGCAACGCAGTGCGATGAATGATCATTCCGCTGTAACCACCGGTTCAGATCCACCACTTTCAGTGAGTTGTGGAGCTCTGATGTTGTATTGTTCCTCCTCTGGATGGTCTATGCCGTCGCCGGTGGAAGCCACAGTTGAGGGATCCTGACGTTTCAACCGCCAGCTTGGCCTGGGACGTAGATGCGACATCATTTGCTTCAATTGCTGCACCTCCGATTTCAGAGAGTTGATTTCCTCCAGCGGCGTCTTCTCCGCAGCGGATATTTTGTATTCTTCAAGAGAGTCGGAACCGACATGCTCATCAAATTGGGTATTGCCAGGACTGAGGATCGGCTGAGGAGCCGGATCGGTCTGTTTTGGGTCTTTGAGTTTACGGAGAGGGCCAGACATAGCTGACAACACTTCCCGAGAATGCAGGGCAACCATCCTCTGCCAGTGGGCGGCGGGATCCTGTTCCTCGGATATGACGAGATCCTCTAATTGCTCCCCAAATAGCTTGGCAAAGGCAAAAGTCTTTTCCCATACAGGCCTACTTCGTTTCTCTATTGTCGTTTGATCGACCCTCTTCTGCCAATAATGGAGGCGAGGATCTCGGCCAAATTGGATGTCTTGTTGATTTTTGGTCGCAGAACTCCAGTCGAAGCCGCTGTCGATTGCGGCTGAGATCATAGCATCGGATAAGTCCCATTTTCCACACCAGTCACAAAGCTGCACCATGTGCACAATCAGTCTCTCGATATGCCGATCGGAGTGTAGCGTTGAACAAGTTAGGAAGGCAAGAGATCTCCTGAGAGTACACAACCCGTTTTCCCAGTCAGACCTTTTGGCATAATACTTCAAATAGGCGTACAGGGTCGAAAAATCGTCTGTGAAGCCGTGTTTCCTCCCGGCCTGAAGCCAGGCATCAGCTCGATCCGTTTGTTCGAAGCGCAAAGCTGCCGTGATCAACGTCGTATAGATGACAGGATTAGCACTGGCCACGGGGGGAACAGTTATTTCCACGCCATTGACAACCATCTTTTTGTAATAACTCAATTTGCCCAGATCCACCGGGTAGCCTTCACCCCGAAGCACTTTCAGGAACGAGTCAAACGCCTTGAGGTTTTTAGATTTTTTGTAATAGGTCAAAATTGAAATGATGAGAGAGGAGTTCAATGGAAACTTGTGCGGCAACAACGTCTTGAGCACCAGGTCCGTAAGATCGTTTTGCATGGACCTGGTGAAAGCTAATATCATTAGCTTCATGAAATACGGTCGATCAGGATCCGAGGATCGAAGTAGATTGTTCGCTAATCGCAGAAGCAATTCCTGCAGCGACATTTTGTTTCTGAGAAACAACGCGACATCTCGTGCTGCTTCATCGTCGAGTTTTGAACGCTCCATTTTCAGCTGCTGGGTCGGCCGCACGCGGAGATCATGTGCCAGATCGTCATAGTATGCACTCTCATTGATTTTCAGAAGGCGAATCCTGCGTCGAATTTTGTTCAGTTCAGACAACAATTCTGCGAAATTAAGTTGGGGCATCTCAAAGTCGGCTTTGTGGTCCATCGCAACACCCGAGTAACTGTGTGCGATTGACTCGCGAAGCAAAAGTCGTATCGCTAGTTGCTTCACTGCAAGTTTCCGGATGGCCTTCTGTCGAATTATATTGTCTGATAGCCACTTCGGAACGACCACATCTTCAGGGAAGAAACCATCTTCCCACAGTGATTTGTCGTCATCCAAATCTCCATCGTCCTCAACCATGTCCTGGAGTTTTCCTTGAGTGCCTTCCTCGAACTCATTGTTTTCGAAAATTAAGTCCTCGTCCTCCTCAAGATCAGGGCCTTGTGCTGCGTGGACCAAACGACGTGGAGGATTCCTTCGGAGCCAGTGGTCGCTTCTGGGCGTCGGTATCGATCTCCAGGTCGTAAATGATCGGCTTTGTAAAGCTCCTTGTGACAGTGTACGCGACCTCCGAGCCTGAATGGCTTCTAATAGTCGACGTTCTTCATCCACCAATTCGTTCACCTCCTCCTTCACGGCTGCGATCTTCTCGGCCCACTCATGTCGGCGCTTGTCCTTGGCCCGAGCATCTGCCAAAGCTGCAGCAGCAAAGATACTGGTGTACAGCGCCGTGACCGAATTCCCTATGCGAAGGCGTCTTTTGCTTGCTGCGGTTGCTGCTCGGGACGTTATCCCGGGTGTGCTGGTACTGAGACAGGGAACGCATCGACAGGTCGACTGCGTCGGAGCAACGCGGGACCATAGACCTTGCATTATCGTGGCATTTCTAAGCGGAACTCGTTCGCATAAAGCATACGGGTGTCAAGTCGACGTCAACCGAGATGCATTCCCAGCTCAATGCCTCTGATAATAGCGCGGGCCAAGATAGTCGATGGTGAGTCCAAGATCCTGGCGATGGGACGATGTATGTGGATTTCTTTCCTCGAGCCGGAAAAAAGATGACGGCCCGGATACAAACACTGCAAACAGCCCAGTAGTTGAGGAGATGTGGACAAGCCATTGTCCTGTTTCTTGTCTCATTTATCATTATTTACCATTTTAATACTGGATACATTCTGATCTGTAAATATCTGGGATTTGTATATCTTGTGTTTGGGATTGTCATTCAAGCAGCTTTGTCGACAATGCTTGTCCGCTCCATTGGCCTTGCTACTGCGCTGCTGGCGTTAAGCAACAGCTTCGCCAGTGCTCATGGATCGCATGCGAGCGAGCAGAACCCTTCCTCAGACTGGGCGACTCGCCATATGCAAGGTAGCTCTCTAAGTCGTCATTACTCCATTTGGAATAGCCATTGACAATTTCTTCGACAGAGGAACACCACATCGATTCCTTCGACGCTGGTTCTTTTTTCACCCTCCACGACTACGATTCCTCCGGCGCATGGACCCCTGATGAAGTCCGAAAGACATATGGCATGGACGACGATTCAAATTCTGGGGTGACCGAGGAGCGCAAGCAACAGGCGCTTCGCGAAGTGTTTGCCCTTTTCGACTCAGGGAATTCAGGGGTTATCACTCGCGACAACTGGATGCGTCTCATCTCAGCCGGTAAACGGTTACCCGATCTCGGATTCGGTCCTGGACATCATGGTGACATTGAGTACGAGTATGAAATCCATCATTTCGAGAAATTTCACGGGGAGGACGCCAAGCTAGAAGATCTCAACCATCCGGAAGATATCGAGCATTTCCGAAGACATGACGAGGAAGAAGATGCCGCAGAGAGACTTGAACAACTGGAACGGATGGCAATCGTCGAGGCGAACATTCCACAGAAATTTCTCAGACGAACATAGAGATGTACAGTTTGATATCTGTTGTGTTGTATATATGTGCATGTTATCAGAGAGTCCGCGGGTCGGTTACACGACATGAGCAGGTGAAATCCATCCTCTTCATTTTGGAACTCACGGGTGAGCGAGAATTTCGTTCTCATGAAGCGCGGTAGCCACTCTCTCGTCGTAACGTCTGATTTCAGGATTGAGACTGCTTCGATATCCGGCTCAGCTCGAGTCTCGTAGAAGGTGCCTCTCCAGACGCAGGCAACTTGATGTCGAAGACGCAATGCATAACGCCTGGTGCATATGTCTTGACATGCTCGATATGATGGCATTCAATAGGCTGCTGAACAGCACTTGGAGAGGCTAGTGCTCTCAATCTGCCAATCTCAGTGATGATTTCCTGCTTCTTCGCATCAATATGTTGCACATCCACGTTCTCATGCACATGTATCCAGCCTCCCAGCTGTAGATCGATTATTGCACAAGCGTCACCCCAGGCAGCGCTGGATGAAGGAAGGAGGCCTAGGTTGACATGTCGAATTCTATTCCATGCATCTCGGCTCTCCATGCGCCCTCTGATTTCACTCATAACGCGAGCGGCGAATTTGTTGTCCCCATGGAACAAGATCACTCTGTCTGTATCTTGAAGACGATCAATCAGATCTGGAATCGGTTCACTCAATGTTCCATCATTCCCAACTTGAACCACTTTACACGCCCAGCCATTCTCTGCACAACCTCTCCTCAAACCCTCGACTGACCATCCGTTGATCTCCCATCCCCAGACCCTCTTCACCCCCTTTTTCAGATACGAGAAGACAAAGTACCCAATCCCCGCATACATGTCAACCACGCTGATGCCGTCGATGTTTTCTCCAAGGGTACTTTCATCAAGCCCTTCAAACACAGATCCTTGACCCAGAATCCGAGCCTTCTCTGTGATGTTCCCTCGAGAAAACATCGTGTAAAGCGGCGCCCAGATCTGCACAATCCCTTGATTCTGCATAGTTTGCACCCAGAATGCACGCTGCAAGTCTTCCCGCGTCGGCTGCGCATTCTCGCCATCCCCGCGTGGCGCCCCGCCAAAGTCTCCGTAAAGAGGAACCAGTCCCGCAGGGCTGCGCATCCTGTTCTCTCCTCCCTGAGTGTTTGTAGGCGCGATAGGCGCATTCATAGCAATATGTGTAACGCCCATCCGCCCGAATGCCGTAGCAATTGACTCAAAGAGAAATCTCCGCTTTTGGCTATCTAAGCTGGCGTAAAGCGAGCCCCAAGCTGGAGGATCGCTGAGGGCGTTCACTGGCAGCAGCAGCAGTGGTTCATACACTGTGAACCGTTTTGGAAGTGCTGATTCCAGGTTCTCTAGAGTTAGACCATGTCTGGCAAGGTCGTCTGAGGGGATTTGTCTTGTTACGAAATCCTGTATGCCTCTTCGGAGGGGATTTGAGCTCTTTGTTCGACGCCTATGTTCCCGCGAGCGGTTTGTGGGCTTCTTGACATGTTCGTCTGTAGTCTGATCTCCTGTTGAATCGTCGGAATTCATATTGTCCTGCCACTTCGGCAGATGCTGACTGCCTCAACAATATCTGAGCATTTGCGATGATGTTGAACTAGTGATCAGGAACTCAATTCTTGAACCCTGCGTATGAATTTGTATTTTTGCGAGACTTAGCCGAGTCATTCTTCGGAGATAATTTTCATTCTCAGCACCGCCCTATGTCATGTGACTTCTATACAAGGTCCTCAAATGGTCAACCATTAGATATAGTGGATGTATAACACTGTACTACATTGGAGAAATAGCACGCAGGGGTTGCTTTGGGAGTAGTATGAGTGACATACGATAGTGATATCGATTGCTGCAAGTGGAGGGCCCGATTTGAGCTGAATTGAAGTATATCATGAAGTGTGGTGCATAAAATCATCGGCAACTGTCTAAGGGCTAAAAAGTGCGTCATAAAAAATCAGGGTTGTTCCTTTACTGGGGAAAGGCTTTGGGTGTATCTAACGCCAAAAAGAGAAAGAGAAAGGAGAGCACAGACTGACAGCCGCCGCTTGAAAATCAATATATAGGGAAATGGAGATGAACTGCCGCTAAAAGAGTGGTATCAAATGGAGGAGATTTAGTAATCCGTTACAGAGTATCCCAGGCGGTCGTTCGACTCGAGCACCCTGTAGCACTGGTCAATATCACGTTTGGAGGCTAAATTGTTGGGACTGGTAAACTCACGAGTACTGTTTTGTCAGCGTACCCTCGCCGCCCTTCGAGAGGTCGATGCTGAAGACATAGAAATTACCGTCGCTGGTAACCACCATGACCTGAGGTGTGTTGCTACTCATAGCAACCACGCTACGGAGAGGGCCATTGTTTCCGCCACCACCAGAAGTCTGGTTTGGCTTTGGCAGTTTGAACCAAGCAAAATCGCGGGTCGGCTCCCACATTTCGCTGACTCCTTTCGGAAGGTAACCCCCCACCTTGGCAGCGACAGTACTGCCAACATTTTGCGAGGTCCGTCTGATCATACCCATAAGAGTTCCATTGTGTTTCCGGGCGGGGAAATCCGATGAGCCAATGTCTCCTGTCAGGTCGCCGCGGTCAGGCGAATAACCGGAGGAGCTTTGACTGAGGGACCTGTCACGACCTACAGGTGAGGAAGACGAAGGGGAGGCATCTGGCGATGATGTTGGATGGCTCAACTTGAAAAGGTGTATTGTCTCTGTAGACGAGGAGACGCAAAGCAGGGTCGATGTGGTATTGAACGACATACTGAAAATTCTCGATGGCATCGAACCGCGTCGGAATTGGTAGAGCTTGTGGCCGTCAGGAACGGAGAAGACGCGGATTATGGTTCCCTTGTCGGAAGCGGTGGCCAGCAGAGTGCCATCGCTGTTGAGCGTGATGCAAGCCAGCGGAGATCGGTGAGCTTCAATGACATTAATGGCCTCCAGTTTTAAAGTATCGAATATCAGAACCTCTCCGCTCGTCGGCGATACATGAGTATTCCCCGGAGGAGTATGAGACGGCGGATTGAACGAAGAAGGCGGCGCCTTTTGTGGAAGAGGGTATGCGAGATAACAATTATCAGAGGACGGTGATAGCGCGCAGATAGCTGTCTGGCATTAGAAAAACGCTCGAGCAATGGCAGGAGCGGATTACATCGCTTACCGTTGGGGTTGGGCGACGTCTGGATGGTGTAGAGCAATTTCATCGTCTGGATGTCGTAAAGATAGATCTGATCTTCAAGGACAATCACGAGTCGTTTTCGGTTCAATTTGACCGCCAGCACGGTCGTGGGGAAGGTTAGCTCGCATATCGTAGATTGGCGCTATATGAGGCAAATAGCCAAGTAGAAAACGTCAACATATGCCGAAAAGGATAAGCGCACTCAAGATGTACAGTTGTCCAGGGATGAACTACCAACCTTAGTATTAGTGATTTGAAGACGACGCGGTGAGAGGATGAGCGCAACAAGAGATGTCGAGAACAGCATCTCGATGATGGCAATATTTCCCTCTTTCGTCTCATAACTCTTCGCAAAAGGATCCGTGGTGAATATGCGAAAACCCTTCGAGGTCGCTGATAGAGGAAGTACGGAGTCTTAGAAAGTGCGCATGCGCTTGAAGAGTTCCAAGGGGCGCTTACCAACAGCCAGATAGCTGTAGTCTTGGTTAAAGGTCACGAAGTTCATTGCCATTTTGACCCCGATAGGCCACCAACCCGCCTGATATGTCTTTTGATCGATCCAATATCCGTCCTGTATACTCTGATAGTCCGGCGACACTAGAACGGACAGGAGATCCGGCTGAATCACGCTCCGAAACCGTACGAGGATGGAGAGGCAATAAACAGAACAGCAGATCAACGGGGTCTCATAGCAGATCGGGTCCGTCACAAAGAGCTCCAGGTTTGCATTTCGGGTCTCTCGGGAGATACTGGCACGGTTGATCATACACAGACGTTAAAAAGAAGACTTCCTCAAAAAACTGTGGACACTGTCGTCATTTCAAACCAGAGCGGTGTCTTTGGAACTTGGCAGGGAACTAGCTCTCATTCGCGGAGGATCGCGGGGGATCGCCTGAACTGCTTTCACTGCCGCGGTTCGCTGTATAATTGGGTGAAACGCGCTAAGCGAGCATTGGACGCTTGGGCCACATCTTGCTCCCGCAATTGGGTAAATTTTTTGGTTCTCAAGCCCCCTTCTATAGATGAACGGTGATTTCACAATTTACTGATTGTGACTGTGTCTTTTCTTTTGTCCTTTGTTGGTCGCTGAATCCACGATGAAGGCTGCAAAGAAACCAGTTAAGGCTGGTGTCAGCACCAAGGCCGAACGAGAGGCCGATCTAGTGATGGGAGTAAGTCGTTCTGAAGCCGACTCCGCGCACATACCACTGACTCCTTCTACCTAGACTAATAATAGCAGCATTGTGTCCAAGCGGAGCGTCGAATTACTATACTACCCCAAGCCCCATTTCTTCAAATATTTCGTGAAGAAACCCCAGAGACGGTCGCCTTTGATCAATCGTGGATACTGGCTTCGTATGCATGCTATGGCGGAGTCGGTTCGACGGTTCATGAAGCAGCCGTCGGATAAACCCAAATTCGTATTGAATCTTGGATGTGGATTGTGAGTCGTAGAGAATTACCGCCGTGCCGATCAGACGAAGGGGAAATGTCCGCGTGAGTCGTATGCTAAGTTGGGCTATCGTAGTGATCCATTACCGTTCATACTCCTGAGTGCCGATAAATCCTTGTGTAGTACCACGAGGTTCGTGGATATCGACTATGAGAAGCTGATGGTCAATAAGAAAACGGCCATTCGCAGGACAGACGAGATCATCCAGCTTCTTGAGAATGTAGAATTTCTCTCGGATGAAAGTCCAATCCAGATCCGCAGCGAGCAATACTTAGCCATTGGGTGTGATCTGAAAAACCTCAAGAAGCTAGATGATGTGCTGAAGACAGAGGTTCTTCCGTATGAGTGCTCTATTTTGTTTCTGGCAGAGGTCTCCCTGACCTATATGGATGTCAAATCTGCCAATGCTGTGTTGGACTGGGCCTCAAAGCTCAACAATGGTTAATACCGCCAATCTTCCATGTCATTGCTGGCAAGCTAACAGGGTATTCAGATTCTCAGTTTTGTATATTGGAACAGTTCTTCCCTGACGGACCCAATCATCCTTTTGCTTCAACAATGATGAAGCACTTCAACAAACTCGGAGCGCCCTTGTACTCAATCCACGAATATCCTTCACTGGGTGAGCAAGAACAGCGATTTAGAAATGCCGGCTGGACACATGCGCAGGCTAGAAGTCTCTGGGATCTCTGGTCAGATAAGGAATTCGTCGGAAGTTCTCTACGAGCATGGCTGGACACTGTCGAACCGTTCGATGAGTGGGAAGAGTTTGCACTCTTTGCGTCGCATTACTTCTTGCTCGTCGCTTCTACGCAACCACATACCTTGGTTCAAGAGCCACAGAAGACGCCGGCATTTACTAAGAAGTCCGATGTATCCTCACAATATTTGCTGCTTGCGGGGAACGACCCAAAAGGTGGGCAGAGGAGGTTCGGGGCCCTCATCCCGGACAGTGAAAATTCTATGGGTCACCATTCAGGTTTAGGCCGCCAGACTCGCGAGGTGTCGACAGATCTCTACAGCAAGTGCAAGAGTATGACTAACCCTCAACTTCCATTCCCTCCACGAGAGGTCTCCGCGCGGATGTGTCACACCGTGACTAGCCTGAGCGGTGGTGACTGCTTGCTCGTCGGTGGGAGAGCGTCACCAGCGAATGCATTTCAAGATTGCTGGTTGCGACAAGAAAAGCAGTGGCGGTCCACCCAGAGTCTCCCAGCTCCTCGCTTCAGACACAGTGCGGTCAAGGTTACCCTTGAGACAGGTCCGGACTCGGTCCTTGTTTACGGCGGGAAATCTAGCGATGGGTCTATCTTTGACACTTGGTTGTTATGGCAGAAAAACAGCAACGGATGGCAGGAAGTTGAGATACAAGGCGCAAGACCTACTGCTCGATTCGGGGCCAGTCTAGAGAGCATCAACCAGACAACAGGCGTCCTGTTTGGAGGCATTGGCTCGGACGGAACCATCGTTGAAGACTTTTGGATATGGAAGATACACCAGCGCAGTGACGGTACCGTATTTCTCGAGTTGACCGATCATACTGAGCACCTGCAACAAACATCTCTGAGTCAGTACATCCACCGATTTGGAGCCACAGTCACGCACACTTCTTGGGGGATGGCCATAGTCGGTGGAATTATTCCTCGACAGATTGTCCCATATGAATGTGAAATCATGTTACTTGATGTAGGAGAGCTGCTCAAATGCCTCGAAAACGGGTCGTCCTGGCGCCACGAGATTCTGTCTGCGATAGGACTAGGGGGTAAATTGCAGGGTCCTAGACCGTTGCTCGTCGGCCATGTTGCCTGCGCGATCGACCCAGGCCAGGTTTTGATACTAGGAGGTGGCGCAGTTTGCTTCTCATTCGGCACATTCTGGACGGAGGGGAGCTGGGTTCTGAAGCCGGCAGGCTCTACAGCCAAGAACGATTGGTCTCTTGTTCCTGAAGCCGCGCATACTCCGAAAGCTGTCGCGTCTCCCGACGTTCCGCAAATCGCAGGCTGCGGCACTGCCTCAAAACTCTCGTCCATTCGTCGCACAAGGGTCGACACCCCCGAGCAATTCCAGCAGATCTTGGCTGATGGCAAGCCGGTGATCATTGAAGGTTCAAACATTGGACCTTGCACCGAACTTTGGACGAAAGGATATCTGACAGATGCTGTGGGAAGTGATCGCAAGGTAAGAAGGAGTCGAGACAATCCGGGACCGATTCATCTAAGAATTCGTGAATAGGTCGTGGTTCATGAGGGCCAGTCGGAAAACATGAATTTCCAGGCGAAGAATTTCTCCTATGTGACCAAGTCTTTCGGGAAATTTTTGGACGAGGTTCATGCGGGTGGTCGCCAGTATCTCCGAAGCATTTCGGCTGAACAACCGTCCAAGCTTCCTGCCAACCTTGCCGTGGATTTCCCTGGCCTAAAGGATGACTTTAAACTCCCCGAGGCACTCTCATTCGTGACAGAAAATGCCCACAGCTCTCCATTAAGAATTTCGGGGCCGGTCACCATGTGGCTCCATTACGATGTAAGTCCAACCACAAAACAAGCGGGATGGAAACTCAAGGTGGCTGATCGCTATGCGCAGGTGATGGCGAACGTCTTATGCCAAATCCGAGGGGAGAGGAGACTGGTACTCTTCCCCCCAACTGACGTGCAATACTTGCAAGTCCCACCAGGAGCCTCTAGCTCTACCATCGATATTTTTCAGAATATCCAAGACGGCTCGGTCGTCTCAATTCCACACACGTCGCCGCAAGAAGCTGTGCTGAACAGCGGCGATATTTTATTCATCCCACCGATGTGGCTGCATACTGCTTCTCCAACTGGCGGAGTCAGTGTTGCAGTCAATGTATTCTTCCGCAGCCTGCCCAGAGGATACGCTGCTGGTCGAGACGTCTACGGCAACCGTGACTTGCAGGTCTATGAGAAAGCTAGAACTGATATTCAGAAGATGGTGAGGTCGTTTGACGGTCTCCCGTCTGACATATCCCGCTTCTATCTGCTGAGGCTCGCGCAAGAACTGAAAGACAGCGCCGGAGTATAATTGGGGCCAAGTGTTCGCGACATCAGAAAATAATTGCGTGGTGAATTGCGCGTGGACGAGTCTAGTTGCCGATTTGAAGTTTTATATCAGCCCTGCAAGCTACAAACGAAATCGCGTTCCGCGTCATACGACCAGCAGATCGCAGCAGAGCACTACTGCACTTTCAATCCAAACTTGCCGGTGCTGGTCGTCTGGCTTATCTGCATGTCGCTTGTTTTCCAGGGAGTATGGTATAGCCATCGCGAGGGTTGTTTCCCGATAACATTAACATTGTAGGGTTGCGAACTTCTAAGGGTGCTAGGTTGGGACCAAAGGCAGCAATCATAACTTTCTGCCCGAGGAAATCAAGCTAGCGAGTGGAAACAACGTGCATGCGCCAGACAAGCATAATGCTCTGAGTTCAAGGCCTCGTCAGACGAAATCCGACAGCCATAGTTGACAATTCTGCTTTATAAAAGAGACGATGCACTGTGGTGCCGAAAGGCTGTGCTAATGTTGTGTGTTGTCCATCCATCCACGTAGCACATGTAAGCTAGACCGGGATTCAAGATTCCGAGTGGGGTAAACCCAGAGTTCTTGCATTATATTGTATAACAGACAGTTGAACAGCAAACACTCGGCTCAGGCCTTAAGAATAAGATCGCGTGCCACTGGCGCTCTTGTTTCCGAAGCTTGCAGGCGACAGAACGTGCCTATTGCGCAAGTGGACATGCAGGTTCCAAATATGAAGCTTTAATCGGAACTTTAGAAAGGAAGCAGGCAAAGGATAGAAACCATGGTAATCCGGCACACGGTCCTCGAGAACCTCGGATGCAGGTGCGATTGCACTATCGCACAACAGCAGCCCAGCAGGGAACAATCCTGGACTTTACCTTATCGTTGTGAAACTTTTTGACAGTACCTAGCAAACCTGGTAACTATGTCCGAGAGGACAGAGAACTTGAGATTTTTGTCGTCATAGCTTCCGTCGCAACGGACATTCCTCAGGTTGTGGCCATCTACACCCTAGAACCATG